TAATTTCTCCCGTATATAAAAAATCATGAGTTTTTTTTTTGAACATTCTAATTCCGTATTTAACGCATGTCAAAAAAATCTAATAGTCATTGAAAAAAAAATATTCTCACATATACTTTATATTTATTAAGTAAAATTTTTCATATTAACTACCACATATTTTTTGCTTCCATATTTGTTTAATAGTTATATATTGTATATGTGATATAAATTTAGTGTAATTATTTACACAATAATGTTATTAAAAAAAATTAATAGCTTTTCTTAAAAGTTTTTTAAAATCGTCTTTGGATGACACCTAAAATTTTTACTTAGTATCTCCTCTATTAATATATAGAGGATTAAATCGCCTTTAAAATGTGCTGCTTAAAGATGCAAACAAAGGATGAGATAATACTTCAAGACAAAGAAAATTACGACATTTCAATTTGCTATAACGGATGTAAGAAAACTATATAGAATCGTTCAACCAAAAAAAAAAACACATACTTACGTACATGATTAACCAACGATGTGTTACTAGAGATGTCAACATGGGCTGCGGCCCGCGGGTTAGGCCTAAGTAAAACTGCAACGGGGCGGGTTTAGACACACATTTAGAATCTGTAATTCGTGACGGACCAATCCGTATGGGTAAAAAAAAATTTTTGGTACGTAACAGGTTGGTCCATTTGGACACGGGTTGGCCAATTTGGCCCGTTTAAAATTTTAGTTTTGTCTGAATGACTTTAAATTTAGTGTTTTTATGTGCTCTTTTTGTTAATGATTTGAGTTTTTGTTACAAAATTTAATAAAATATTTTTCTTTAATCATGAATACATGTTTGGTTTCAATCTATGTTTATTTAAAATATGAATAAAGTAAGTTAGTCAAACGGAAAAATCCATTAATACATCATTTCTATCGACCAATATTTTTACGTTTATATTATAAATACAAAACATATAACTTATATCACTAACCAAAATTAGACAACAAATTATTTTCCATTTATCAACCGCAAACAGAGCAAAAAAATATCATCAAGTTATATTAATTATACAACGTATATAATAGATGTGAATGTGAGTCTAACCATAAAAGTGAAACATAAAAATTTACGTACATACTAAACCAAAAACACATATACAATACAAATTGATATGGTACTATGACAAATCATAGAAAATCATGCTTGGTTTGTTTTAATTGTTTGTTGCCTTCTTGG